GACGGCCATCGAAACCAAGCAGCCTTTGGTCGATTGATTCCAGGATGTCTCTCATGTCATTACCTGGCGGAGATGCGGCTCCAGGGGAATCCTCGGTCCGGGTCCTCTTCGGCGTCTTGGAGGACTTTCCCATGACGACACGGCAGAAGGTCTCTTCGATGTATTCTTCAAGATCTTCAAGCCCCTCCAGGTTTATAATAGCTTTCTTGGTTTTTGTGCCTGGTAGAATTTGCGGATTTTAAGTAATCTGTATTTGTTTTTGAGCTATGCGATCCGCTTGTCTGAATTCCGCGCGTCGCACGATCTCGCGATACTACAGCATCTCGCAGCCTACCCTACAGCTCTCCAGCCTACCCTACAGCTCTCCACCAAATTTAAAGGTAACGTATTCTTCTTTAGCGTCATTAAAAAAAGAAATAAATAAAAAAAGAAATACATAAACCGTCCACTAAATACAGTTGTGTATTTCCAACTTCCAGTCCGTCCTGCGAAATGATCCGACTGGAAACACGCGCTGTGTGTTGTGGTGGAGTAGATACCGTGTAGCCATCATTAGCTTTTGTTGTTGACTAAATTAGCACTCTTAAATCGCCAAATCGACATATATTTGTTTGCTTGTAAATGAACGGTGTGCCTTGCCTTCGTGTTCCTCGCTGTCATGCGCAGCAGTTCAGGTAATCATCATCCAAGTGAGAGAATATATGTGTATGTTAAGCTAGCTAGCTAGCAGTTAGCATAGGAACCAAAGACTGGTGGGAAGTAGGAGCAGAGAGTAACAAGTTGAACATGTTTTCTTTGGCTGTTGAGAATATTTTGATATTATGTTTGTATCGTGTTGTGTTCGTTTTGTATTATGTATTTCTGTGCTCCTGGTAAGGAATTGCTACCCTGCTATAGCTGATTATAAATACATAATCTATATTTTTTGTGCTGTTTATATTTTTAAAACAATGAATGGTAGCAATTGTAACGTAAGCAATTTCCCCTTAATGATCAACAAAGCATCTCTGATTCTGGTAATAATGCAATAATGCCTATTGTATCAACTAGATCTTTTTTTATCATTTTAAGTTTATGTGAGCATCACAAGTTTCTAGCTTGTATTTGCTATGGCTGGTCTGTATGGCTCACTGACCTGACCTGAGTTCATACAAGCTGTTCATCAGTTGACAAAGGCATGATGTAAGAAAAACATTAAATAGAACTAAAGCAATACACTTTGATAAGTTGACCAAGGAAATTATTGCATCATATATCAGTCGAGATACTCAGTTCTGAATATTTGTCCGATCATATGCTTCCTCTACTGTTTAAAAATATACAAACCACATTATGTTTTTACATCTGAATCTAGTCAAACAGGTTTTCATATGTGCAGCAAATTTACTCTACAATATGTCAGGCAAAATTACAGTTACATCTCAAGTGCAAACAAAATGCGAGACTATTTTTGTTGTTTGAACAGACTGTAACAAATACTCAGATTCAACATCTTGTCTCGCAGGAGATGTCTACAGTCCAAAGGAGCTCTTGACCTGAGTTTGTGTTTAGTGAAGGACTCAGAAGGGACAATCCTCCTTCCCATTTTACCTTCCTGTCTGTCACAACTTGATCTCCAGTCTCTCAGAACCATGGTGGCTTCAGACAGAGCCTGTGAAATAGTTTGGAGTCAGGTATCATTAGCTTATCATAACACTATTCGCACCAGCTTGTACAATATTGCAGCTTTAAAGTCTTTTTTTCTCTCCCATTGTCTGTCCTGTTTTCATCAGTCTCCTCTCCAGTCAAAGAAGGAGAAAGGAAGGACAAGTGTTAATAAACTGGAGAAAATCCTCCAGGAGCTGTTGGAGTCTCATGATGAAAGATGGACAGAGGAGCTGAAGGGGGAGCTCCCTCGCAGCTTCCAGCGTCATGGAGACCTCGTGCTGCTGGGAGACAACTCTTTTGCCCTGCCAGTGTGGAAGAAAATGGGTACTGTTCTCCACTTGACCACACCTCGCTTTAGTTCTAACTGTACAAAAAAAAAAAAAAAAGGATATTAATTAATTGCTTGTTACTACTTTAGAACATCAGCTATGGACTGCAGTAGCCAGAGGACTGGGCGCAAAACGTCTGGCAAAGATGAGTCGCATATCCAGGGATGGATTTAGGTCTCCTGAGGTGACAATGCTGCTAGGAGAGCACAGCTGGGTCAAACATGTGGACAATGGCATTAGGTAAGTGTCAGTGATAACCAAGCAGTCTTTTATTTGCTGCTAATTTGCTTACTGAATAAGTCTGACATGATTTAACGTGTGTGAAACTTATGATGTCTTTGTCACCCTTTTCTCAGTTATGAGTTTGATGTCACCAGATGCATGTTCTCAGCTGGAAACATAACAGAGAAACTCCGGGTGGCTGCATTTGACTGCAGAGAAGAGACGGTGGTGGATTTATATGCAGGTAGTAAAACTGTGGAAACTATCATGAGGAAACTGTCTTAAACACTTCTTAGTACCTGAATATCTCACTGTTGGTAATAATAGTGATAATAAATACATGTACAATATTATGCAACACAGCACAGTGGCTCTACATTGTGTTGTGCCAGGAAACTGACCCTTCCTGTTGTTCTTACAGTCATTTATATGTATGATAATTGAACATAATCTGAATGTTGATGATATTGTTGTGTTGCTGTCACATCTCGTGTCAGGTATTGGTTACTTCACTCTTCCGTATCTGGTACACGCAAAGGCCGGTCACGTTCACGCCTGTGAGTGGAACCCTGATGCTGTCGACGCTTTACAGAAAAACCTTGAGGCAAACGGGGTGTCTAACCGCTGCACGATTCACCAAGGAGACAATCGTCAGGTAATTAACATCCAATCTTTACTTTATATGCTACATGTGTTGATTACAGACAAAATTTTACATCTGTTTCCCAGCATCCTACTTCTTCACTGCAGCGTCGACTTACCCCCTCTAGTGGTGGTATAGGTATCATAGGTCAGGGTTTGTCAACGTTTTTGGAGGCACAGGACATTTTTTGTATTACAAAAATTCCGCTGTACACCACCAACAAAAAACGAATGAATGAAAGATAGCTTTCACTGTTTTTGCTTTTTTTTGACCACCACTCGTACTAGGGCCTTCATCTGGGTCAGAAGATGGGGCCCACTTTGGAGTTTGTATTTTTCCTTTTCAAATATTTATCCATAGCTGTCACCACTACCTCTTCCACTCAACACTAGCCTTATTTTAATGTCTTAAATTGACACAGTCATCTGCTACCTGCTGCCCCCAACTGACATGGAAGAATATTTAATTACTGTGCCAGTCACTACATAGCAGGCACAGGCATACATCCATCCATCCATCATCTATACACTGCTGAATCCTCACTAGGGTCGTGGGAGGGCTGGAGTCTATCCCAGCGGACTCAGAGTGAAGGCAGGGGACACCCTGGACAGGTCGCCAGTCTATCACAGGGCTACACTTAGAGACAGACAACCAGTCATTCACACCTACGGACAATTTAGAATCAC